ATGCCGCACAAGAAGGAGACTCTAAGCATGGCTGTCAAGCCAATTTCTGCGACCACATCACCCCTTACATCTGGCTACCTAATTCCCCAGACTGCAACCCCCCTTGATTATTATGTGGGGGCGCCTTTGAACCAGAGATCAACAAAACTCCTTGGAACACCAAAGATGGCAGCATACGCCGGCTTAAACAAGGATACCGCCCGGTAGAAGATTCTGAGTCATCTGTTGGCCGTGGTTGAAGCCAATGTCGATTTTATTGAATAAATTCACTTTTTAGTATTTGAAGGTATTTTCGTGTAATTTCGGTAAACGGACCTGTTAAAATGCGGTGTCACTAATATTTTCGTTTTTGCGTAATTTATCCGACAATTTATCCATCGCACCCTTTATACATTCACGCGCGCGCACAGACACACAGACACACACACACATATATATATATATATATATATGTTGAATATAATATCTATTAGATAATTGACAAAATTTATTTGTGTTAATCATAGATAGATAGATAGATAGATAGATAAATATGAAAAAATATAAGAGGAAACTGAAATGAATAGTTATTAACAATTATGATAGATAGATAGATAGATAGATAGATAGATAGATAGATAGATATGAAAAGAGAAAGATAAATAAGAGGAAACTGAAATGAATAGTTATTAACAATTATGATAGATAGATAGATAGATAGATAGATAGATAGATAGATATGGAAAGAGCTTAAGCAACCGAACAGACAGGTTGGTAAGTAGAAATCTTTATCGATACCTTTTCGAAACTCCAAACCTGATTACACAAAACAAGTTCTTCACTGATTATCAAATGGAATAAAATCAATAAAAAAAAAAAGTGCCAAAAATATTTTCCCCAATCGTCGAAAATCAAAGAAAGACATTTTCTCCTGAATTAAAAAAAAACCACACAAACAAACAAACAAACGAACAAACGAACAAAGAAAAACCAAAAAGTAACGTCGAACATTCATTGTCATTTCTTCCAATCAAGTGGGTTGTTTTTTTTAGTTTCTTTGTCTTTTTTTGTCATTTCTAATTTAATAATTGTGTGTTTGATATAACAGTCGTAGATTGTATACATTGTTAAGTATTTGAATATTTATTTTCTTATTCAAATTATATTCTTGCCGCTTTCCACTTGCAATATATCAGTAGCATTTAAGATTATTCGATTTCACACGATTTGACGAAAACGACGAGGAGGCGAGGGTCTTGATTTAAAACATACGAAAAATTATTCACTTTTATTATGCGAGTCTTATTCAATTAGTTATTTCTCAAATGTTTCTATTTTTTTTTTGTCTAAATTTTCAGCAAGCCATTGTTTCTTTGTGAATTAAGCGGAGAACTTTTAGCCTGAAACTTTTTCGAAATTCTTCCATATTATTTAATTCTTGAGGCAGAAAAGAATTATCTCTCTACCTAGTGTTATCCGAGCGTTAATTCTAGTTATCTCTCCCTAGCTACTACGTCTATCTATCTATCTATCTATCTATCTATTTCAGTCTCTTCATAACTGTCTATCTCATTCTATTCATATCTATCTATCTATCTATCTATCTATCTATCTATCTATCTATCTATCACAATTGTTCATATCTATTTATTTAAATCTATTTTCTTTCTTTGTAGTCTGTTCATATCTATCTATCTATCTATCTATCTATCTATCTATTGTTTATAATCTTTCCCCAAGCAAGGCGATAATGTCACGAGGACGTAAGTTGTTACTGCGAGCGAAAGAGATCAAGAAAACTTTAGTTAGAAGAAGTGAGGAGAAAGGACACTACAAGAACCTGGGAGACTGAAGGGAGAAGACAAATGGTGTTGGTTTCTATCTATCTATCTATCTATCTATCTATCTATCTATCTATCTATCTATCTATCTATCTATCTTAGTCTGTTCATATCTATCTATCTAGCTAGCTAGCTATCTGTCTAATCGAATCATATGCGACTCAGAGAGTCTCCAACTATCTTGACTGGTTACTGTGACTAGATGAAGGCGGTTCCATGCTGAGAATACACGTATTGTTGATCAATCTATGAAGGACTATAAGCAATCGTGCGGGTACCATTGGGCTAGTAGAGGTTGTTAGAGGACCATTTTGGTCTGTTATATGTATAGATTCATCTACCCCCCTCTCTCTTTCTCTCGTCTTTCTTTCGAGGTGATGAAGCATAATAAAGGGACTACAATGTGTATCGTATTAAGAAGAAACATTGCAATGGATGTATCATAAAACATTTATTAAACAAAAACATTGAAAGGGATGTATCATAAAACATTCATTAAACAAAAAAAACATTGGATGGGATGTATCATAAATACAGGGTGCGATGGATAAACTGTCGTCCGAATTAAGGAAAAATTAAAATAACACTGACATTTTAATAATTGAACAAAAATATTTGGAGATACTAAAGAGTAAATTTATTCCATATAAACGTCATTGACTTCAACCACAGACAACTTCAGAATCTCCTGCAACTCTTCTGGACAGTCTCCTTGTTTAAATTGTATCATAAAACATTTATTAAACAAAAAAACATTGGATGGGATGTATCAAAAACCATCTTGCCAAATCATCAGAAAGTATATATCTGGAAAAATGAAAAGAATCATGAAGCACAACCATCAGATCGAATGTATCAGAAAACGAAAAAAATCATTAAGCAAAAAACATTTGAATGGATGATTGAAGGTGTTAAAAAAGCATCTAGCACGAGCTACTGATAAAAAGCAAAAAGTAAATTTAATGATGAATACAAAATACAAAATAAAGTTAAATTCTAATGCAAGAATGCATATAATACCATTTGGAGAAAGAAACAATGCGATATACGCAGATGGTAAAATTTTGTACTGGACATGTAATAGTGTGGAGTTTTATCAGAAGCAATAGCAGAAAAAAAATTGATAAAATGTAATGGAAACAGAAAGAACGAAAACTATATTAGTTTACTACGCTTTGATCTGACAAACGACGAAGAATTTTTTTTTTCAGAATGACTGTGCTGCCTTGCAACACATCACGTGCAATAAAACAGTTTCTTGTAGATGAAGATAGACAACATTTGGAAGACTGACCGGAACTGTGTCTTGAACACAATATAATTGGACTATTGTGTTTGGAACTGAAGAAAACAGTGCTCCAACGAAAACGTCGTAATCGCCAATAGACCTGCAATTACTGCTAAGAATAGGGAAATCCGAGTAAAAAAAAAATCTGGACATTGTTCGACTCAATGACACATCGAGTTGAGGTAATTATTCGAGCCAAATGGAGTAACACTAATTGCTAACTCTCTACTTTAACATTTTGTACTTTCTATAATAATAAAGATGTCATTTTGCGTAATAAATTGCCCTTTTTTAACTAAAGAAAAGAGAACTGAAAGACAGAACTTCCGCGTGTGGCGCACTATTTTTTTTATTGCCTTTTTTCCAGTATCACTACGCTGAAGATGCTCTATTATTATCCACTATAGAGTATTAACAGAGATGCCGTAACTTGTTTCCAGGCCCTGAAATACCATAAAACGTACTGAGAAAAGAATACTGGAAATTACTCTCGATTGGGGGGGGGGGTAAAATATATTTTCCGTTTATACGTTATTTTTATAGACACAAATATTTAAGAAAATGCTCTGTTTATAATAAACAGTATTTACCGACCTGAATGTCCGAGAAATTTTCATGGAAAATATGTGTCCTCCGACAGGAATCGAACATGTATCCTACACGGAACCGTCATATAGCCTGACGTGCTATACCAATTTAGCTACAGAGGAGAATCTGGTTAGCAAGATCGATTTTACTGCTTTTAAACTACAATTTACCATGATTTCCCTCGAATATTCATATCTGCTCGAAGCGTAGCTAAACGTAAACAAATGACGTCACACACTACGAAGTGGACAAAGTCTGACAGTTATTTTAAGATATTTTCTGTTTATACGTTATTTTTTATAGACACAAATATTTAAGTAAATGCTCTGTTTATAATAAACAGTATTTACAACATTTACCGACCTGAATGTCCGAGAAATTTTCATGGAAAATATGTGTCCTCCGACAGGAATCGAACCTGTATCCTATACGGAACCGTCATTTGGCCTGACGTGCTATACCGCTTAGCTGCAGAGGAAACGTCTGGTCAGCAAGGTCAAATTTCATAATATATGTTGTCATTTGTTTACGTTAAGATACGCTTCGAGAAGATATAATCGTCTGAGAAAAATCATGTGAAATTTGTTGTTTAAAAGCAGTAATTTGACTTTGCTAAACAGACACCTTGACTTATATGTACAGGGCGTTGTTAAGCGAGAGACTAACAAAACTTCCTGTGACACCAAAGGTGAACTGAAAGCAACGATTATGGCGGCATTCACCAACTTAAACAAGGAGACCATCCAGAAGAGTTGCAGGAGATTCCGAAGTCGTCTGGAAGACGTGGTTGAAGCCAATGGCGATTTTATTGAATAAATTTAATCTTTATTATCAGAAGATGTTTGTGTGTATTTCTGGTAAATATGACCGTTAAAAGGAGATGTCAGTTTTATTTTCATTTTTGCGTCATTTAGACGACAATTTATTCATCGCACCCTATATAATGATTGGAATTGAAACTGCCCGTATGCACCGTGAGCGTAACATAAATCTGCATGCGTTACCAAGCTTAGAATAGTCTGGCACAAGGCCGCAATTGTGGATGACTCAATGAAGTTCGAGTCCGTTACACGAACGATGACCTAACGAGCGGCCATGATGATGTCTTACTCTGCAGCAGGCGTACCTAATGCCTGCTGCAGAGTGATTGTAACCAAATCGTTACGCCTCATTGCAGATGCTTTGCCTCGCTTTTGCCCGGGATTTTTTTCATGGCTGGTCACGTGACCTGTCAGCGTTTCCCCGGAAGGTTGTCAACGGGGCAGAAACGTCATATTCCCACGGCTAGCACGCGCCGACTCGATCTAGGTGTGGAATTGTTTGGGGTTAGTTAATCGATCTGCCGTAAAACTAAAGTCAACCCGGTGGAGCGGCGTCAGACGCGGGAGGCCAAGAGACGTTGGACAATTCATGATGGTTGGTAAGTGCATATTACAAGAGATACAGAGATGGAAGAGAGGGGATGTTTCTGAATGGCCCCTGGGGATGGAAACCGATGCAGCTGTGACGTACTTGTTGAAGTATAAAGTAAAGACAAGATTGAGAGTGAGAGAGAGAGAGAGAAGAAGGGAGAGAGAGAGAGAGAGGGGGAAATGTAGAAATAGAGACAGAGAAAGAATGGGTAAATGAGTGAAAGAGCATAAAAAACCAGAGTAAGGAGAGGATAATAAAAAATGCGGGTATGTGATAAAAATATTTGAATCTATCTATCTATCTATCTAATCTCAATATATTCCTCATCCATCTATCTATCTATATATCTATCTATCTATCTATCTATCTATCTATCTGATTCTGATCATATCTATCTATCTATTTATCTATCTAATTTATCTCAATATATTCTTCATCTATCTATCTATCTATCTATCTATCTATATATATATATATATATATATATATATATATATATATATATATATATATATATATACACACTCCCATACATTCACATATATATACATACAGGTATATATATGATTTCTTTTGTAGTATGTCTGGTCTATTCATGCCCGCCTGTCTACCTATCTGTTTTTTTTTCTGAACAAACTGTGATAGATAGATAGATAGATAAACCTGAACAGAGTGTGATAGATAGATAGATAGATAGATATGAACAAACTTAGATAGTTTCACCATCGAACTAGCTAGATGTAGCCGTGTTTTATATTCTAATAGTTTCTCTTCTCGTACTTCTCGCTTGTGCAACTCTCTCTTACGATTTCCTGGTTCCCTGTCACATAGAATCTTAAATAATTTAAATGCAACGCCAATCGCCATCTTCTTTCTTCCTCAGTCCTGCTCTTTTATCGTCGCTTCTACTCTACAAATCGTCATAATCTGCACTTCTTACTTGTCTACAACAATCTCATTCAACAACTCGCTACCTTGAGTGGATCTTGGGCCCTGTATTGGGTGAAAAATAGTAAAAAAAATATTGAACACATATAAGCCAATAACGATTTGGTTTGAAAAGCATTCTGGTAACATGTGACCGCCAAGTTGGCCCGGCATAAAACGAGTCGAACATTTACGGGGAGGTGGCCTAATCGCACGCCAGATCTTTGTGGACAACTACTGGGCCGGCATTGCTTAGCATCTCTCCAGAGATCTTATGACTACTTAAGGAATCGATTTCACATCGAGGCGCTGTACTTCGTGGGACTGGATTTGTTTTAATTAGAATATCTAATAACATTTCATCTTTTGCTTGCTCATTCAAAATCATAGCCAGTCCCTCTTTTTAATTCTATTTCAGGATTTTTTTTTCATATTTTTATTCCAATATTAAATATGTAAAGCAATGATGAATAGATCATTTTAATGTTATCCAACATAAACCGCAGGTAAGTACCATCATCATGGGAGATCTGAATTCCAAATTAAAAACGGAACCAGTCAGTGAAAGTTGGCAAGTAACAAGAGGGGAGAAAATGGATTCAATGGCTCACAACAAATGACTAAACAGTAAATTCCATCTGGCTTCCAGGACACGATGGCCAACAAGATGCCAACAAGATGCCCAGGAGTGGTCATGGCCAACAAGATGCCCAGGAGTGGTCATGAAAGAACCTGATGGTATGTATTACGCTTAATAAGAGTTTTCGCGATACAGTAAAACATATTTAAGCGCCGAGTGTAGCTGAAATTTCTTGGAAAGATAACGAGGAAAGAAAGCTTGGAAAATTTGATACACACAGGATATATTGTAGACAATAAGGACATAGGTGTAAATGTGGAAATGGTTGGCAGAACAGGGGGCGTTAGGGAGAGAAAAAGGACAAAAAATATTTCTGTATTGATAACCATCAAGAACAATTGCATAATTTTACGTATATATATATATATAGGACGCCACACACTACGAAATGCATAAAGACCGACAATAATTTCAAGATACTTTAAGGTTATACGTTATTTATATAGACACAAGTATTTAATTGTTTATAATAAACAGTATTTACAACATGTCCGAGAAATTTTCATAGAAAATATGTGTCCTCCGACAGGAATCGAACCTGTATCCTACACGGAACCGTCATATAGCCTGGCGAGCTATACCAATTTAGCTACAGAGGAGAATCTGGTTAGCAAGATCGATTTTACTGCTTTTAAACTACAATTTACCATGATTTCCCTCGAACATTCATATCTGCTCGAAGCGTATCCAAACGTAAACAAATGACGTCACACACTACACTCATTTTAAGATATTTTATGTTTATACGTTATTTTTTAAAGATACAAATATTTAAGTAAATGCTCTGTTTATAATAAACAGTATTTACAACATTTACCGACCTGAATGTCCGAGAAATTTTCATAGAATCGAACCTGTATCCTACACGGAACCGTCTTATAGCCTGACGTGCTATACCAGTTTAGCTACAGAGGAGCGGCTGGTTAGCAAGGTCGATTTTACTACTTTTAAACTACAATCTTCCATGATTTCCCCTTTCTCGTACTTCCAGTCTGTGAAACTCTTTTCTGTTTACTTGCTTCTCTGATAACTACAGTCTTCAGAAATTTAAATGCAACGTTAATCTCCATCTTCTATCTTCTATTCTTGAATCCCGTTCATCTTTTATCCTTTCGTCAGTCCCCCCTCCCTATACCCAATCTTTTCTCTCACTTTCTGCAACCCCTGCATACTAGTGGCATTCTCGCCTTGCTTGGGATGAACTGATATAAAAAAAAAAAAGAAGAAAAAAAAAGAAAAAAAAAAGAAAAAACAAACTATACTTATTTTTCTATCTCAATTACTTATTTATTTATTTATTTAGATTGGTTGTTTTGGATAGTGGATATTATGGATATTTATATATAACGGATATTATGAGTAGGTAATATTATGTGCTTGCTTTTATCTACTTTGTTGTTAATAATTGTTGTGGATTCCAGGGATGGATTTGTTGTATTCCCCGACTTCGAAGTTTCTTGGTAAATTTTCGTTCTTCAGGGGGTTCTGGTATTAATATTTCCAGTTTCTTTCCCATTTGTATCGCGTCTTTTTAAATCCGATTTTTACTCCTTTTCGTACATATGCATATTCATGAATTTATCATTCTTTTACTCGTGCACGTTGATGAATTTTTGCATTTGTTTACGTCTTCAATTTTTCAGCTCAAGAGTTTCCTTCCAGTTGTAAATTTTTTCTTCGAAATTAAAGTTTTCTTCCAAATTAAATTAATTTTTTATGGTTTATATAAAAGTTATTATGTTATGTCATATTATTAATTAAATTGTAATATTTGTTAATTAATTAATTAAATTATATTTTATGTTGTATTTGTATTATTAATATATATATATATATATATATATATATATATATATATATATATATAACTATTTATGATCTCTACAAATATCCTTAAATGTCTATAATTGTAACAGAAGCCATTGGTTTATACCAACGGCATTCCACACTTCATACTTCTCCAATACACTCTCGTGTGGTCATGTGTGACGTCATGAGATGCGGTGAGATTTTCGCTTCTAGCGTCTTATATATATTTTATGTTGTATTTGTATTATTAATATATATATATATATATATATATATATATATATATATATATATAATAACTATTTATGATCTCTACAAATATCCTTAAATGTCTATAATTGTAACAGAAGCCATTGGTTTATACCAACGGCATTCCATACTTCATACTTCTCCAATACACTCTCGTGTGGTCATGTGTGACGTCATGAGATGTGGTGCGATTTTCGCTTCTAGCGTCTTATATGCACGTGTTTATCGTTGCTAAGAAATCATTTATGTAAACAATGACAGACTATCATCACTGTCTTTTCCGTAGATGTTGTAACTGACATCTTTGATAATGGCTTATGTAAGCCGAAAGCTTAGATTGGATTAAAAAATATGGATCAATATTGTGAATTTCTTTCTTCGTTCAATGATAATGTTATTAAACTTATCAGACGTTATGAAAAGAATTTACATAAAATAAATAGACAACACTTGTCTATATTATTTAATGAAACGTGTATGAATATATATATATATATATATATATATATATATATATATATGTTTCTAAAGAATGAATTCATTTTTAATCTGGCATTTTTTGTTGGACACGTATTTGAAATGAGATGTTCTGTTTATATTTTTAAACAGTCTGTATGACGTATCACAGCCTACGCACTTGAGAAAAATTAAGAAAAAAATGCACTCAGACAGGGTTCGAACATGTGTCCGCCTTGTAGTGAGAAACGACAATTTTCTCCGGTAGGTTCTAGACCGCTCGACATAGAGAGCGTCACAGACCGACACGATTCTATTTAGCCTTTTGATTTAGCCTTTTATTTAACCTTCCATTTAGCCTTCATTTAGATTTCCATTTAGCCTTCTTTAACCTTCTATTTAGCCGTCTACTTAGCGTTTATATAGCCTTCTATATAGCCTTTCGATTTAGCCTTTTGATTTAACCTTTTATTTCACGTTTTAACCTTTTATTTAGCCTTCTATTTAGCCTTTTTAACATTCTATTTAGCCTTTTGATTTAGCCTATTTTATAGCCTTTTTAACCTTCCATTTAGCCTTCATTTAGCCTTCCATTTAGCTTTTTTTGACCTTCTATTTAGCCTTCTACTTAGCGTTTATTTAGCCTTTTGATTTACCCTTTTATTTAGCCTTTTTAACCTTCTTTTATTCAACCTTCTATTTAGCCTTCTATTTAGCCTTTAATTAGCATTCTATTTAGCCTTTTTAAAGAATACACAGTTCCGTTTTCAATTATTCAGGAAAGTTCTTATCTGTTCAGTTTCATATCATAAACGCAAAGAAAGCAATTTCTAGAGAACTAATGGATTCATTTTTAAGCCGGCATTTTAATTACTTGAAAACGTTATTTTAGTGGATACCCGTGCTTGAAATAGACTCCCAGTTTTTTGTTCTTTTTCTAAACAGTACTGATTAAATCTATCGAACTGCGTTTCAATCATTACGTTTTATCCCGTGAGCAGTGATACGTAATACACTGTTTAAAAATCAATATCGGGGCGTCTATTCCGAACACGAGTCCATTAATTCTTTAAAAATTGCTTTGTTTACGTTTCGGATACGGACCAGAGCAGATATAGGCTTTCGCGAAAAGCTGAACGAGGAGGCGTGTATTTCTTTAAAATAAACGATAAATAGATCATTGCTGGGCTTTGACGCATCCTGTGGCCAAGAAGACGAGAGGACGCTGGAGCAAACGCTTGTTTCTCCTACAAAGGGTACAAAGGGAGACGCAAATGGAAGCCTGTCAGAGGTCACATTTTCTTTATTAAGTTTTCCCGAGTGTGCAGGCCAGTAGACGTAATACACACTGTTTTAAACAATAACAAACGGGTCATCAATTTCAAACATGAATATCCACTAAAAATAACATTAGAAAAATATATATATATATATATATATATATATATATATATATATATATATATATGAGAGCGCATAGTGTGTGCTGGTGCTAATAAAGCAGTCC